GCCCAGAGTCCTACGGGATTGGGCGGCATATAAATCTATTAAAAGTTAAAGTTAAAGTTAAAGATAATGCTTGACAAAACAAATACTACAAAAATGATATACTTATTTTAAGGACAATTTAAAGACACCTCCTCTCCAAAGGTACAAAATGGAGGATTTTTGAATCAGCTGCAAAACTTATACAAAAGTTCACAAAATAAAACAAGGAAGGAAGGATTTACCTTCTATAATTCTCTGTTGTTGCTGCCGGATATCATGGAAGTCAAGCCCTCTCGTTTCCTCAGGCTCCTCCACAAGCCATGGATTTGTTATTTCTCTTCTGACCCCACCTGCCATTAGGCTAGACCTAAAAATGGGTTGTTTAAAAACAAATTAACGCTCCTATCACTGGTAGGATTCTGATTCTGCTAGTCTCATATTTAGACCAGAGCAAAGAACATAGTTATACAGTGGAGATCTATTTGGGGGATCCAATTATGCAATATATCACTCAGATGTAAAAACATTGACAATAATCAGGTATCAAGCGACCTCAAAGGGGAAAGCAATTTAATATTTAATTCAGAAGGAGCATCTGTAACAGGTCTCATTTTTTTATATTTAAAACACTTTTGGGCACTCTCTTTCCATAGCTCCTTTAAAGTGTTAGGGGCTACAGTAACAACAACAACAAAAAAGCAAAGAAAGAAACATAGAAAACAAATTTAATTTAATTTCAAGAATCTTTGTCAATTTTGTCTCCAGACTTAACAAAAATTCTCATTAAAAATCTCACTATCCAAAGATAGCATGAGGCAATGGAAATGGAAAGAAAAAAAAATAATTTTCAACAATAATAATACCCTAAATTCCTATACAGTCTTAAAATCAAATGGAAAACATGCAATGCATGTGATGCTCAAATAAGCATAATCTCCATTAGCTTTGTACCTTTACTTCCAAATAAGTACGTATAGGATAAGATTGTCGCTTCCTTCCTGACAGCCATGATAAGTAAGAATAATATTTAAAAACTTCTATCAGTTTGAGGAACACATACACCTGTTAGCATGAGGCAGCTTCATTGCATAAAATGAAGCTGCAGTTACAGTTCACACACCTCTATGTCTCATACTGTACTAGTATTTTCTTTCTTGATTCTATCTTTGAAAATCTTTGAAAAGAGCCTACACCCCTGCTAGCCTCTGAAGCCACCTATAAACTCTCCCCTACCCAGCAGCAATCACCCCTGGCCCTAACATACGGTACTTACACTCCATCTCAATAGACACCCGTGAATCCTTGTGCAATCCCCAGCTGAGTTACTTTTGTGCTAGCCACTCACAAACTCTCACTGACACTCATATCTCTGGCAGCAGCCATCCCAACCTCCACAGCCCTTGAACCATACAGGCTATTTGTGTGTCCTCCCAAGCCAGTAATAGCCGTTTCACTGCCTTCCAGACTGCTGGGACTGGTGAATCCCTAACAGCGTTCCTATAGAATTTGTTTGTTCAAAGCCGTCAGGAAGTTGTAAGGAGGTCCTCACTTAATGACTGCAATTCTCACTTAATGATAACCATGGGGACCAGAATTCTGTCATTAAGCAATGCTGTCACATGATATCAACTTTACAACCACATCACTTAGCAACAAAATTCTGGTCACAATTGCCATAGTAACACGAGATTTACTGTAGTGCTTTCCACCTGCCTGTTGAGGACCAGTTATCTGGAATAGGGTAGAATGCAGATATAAATTATTCATATGTACCTACTGAAGGATTCACTCTTTGTTTTGGAAAGCTTGTACCACAAAGAATTAGTCACACTTAAAAATACTAGAGCATTAGCAGCAGATTAGAATAATAGCTGTGCTAAAAATCCAGACTACTTTTGGTTCCTTTACTAACTCAGATGAAACTAAAGGCTCAATGCATGGAAATCTAAGCACTGATCTGCAGATAATTAGAGTTTCAGAATCTACCTACTACAGTACTAAAACTCTTCTTTCCTTTAAATGAACAAAACAGTGCAACTTACAGAATGTATCCAAAATCTGGGGCCTATGGCTCTCATGGAATAGAAATTTGGCAAATTTTATTAAACATTTTATGATATAAACATTTCTGACATAATAATGTCATAAAACATTTCCTAATGTTTGACTGTGCCACGTAGTTCAACAGGGGCTATTTTCAAGGTAGATCCACCTCTGAATATATTTCAGCTTTTCCAGTGAATGCAGTACATTAGAAATTCTGTCACTATTGAAGGCAGTGAGGATCTGGTAAGGAAATGTTAAATAAAGGGAGACTAGTATAGATCTATTTCAAGCTATTTAGCTCTCATCAGCTAGCCATACCCTTACTGGGATTTGAACCTGTGCTGTATTACATAGTAGGCAGTTGTGTTATCTACTAAGCCACAAGCTCTCCTCCTTTATCAGCTAAGCCAGGGAAATAGGTATGTATTGTGTCACAACCCCTGGTATGCCCAAATATGGGAGGAAGCATACTGCTTCCGTTCTCTGTCTATCAGCTCACCCCAGGAGACCATCCAGACAGAAAGCCATTATTTTTACTGTTGCCTTTGTTACATTTGTGTTGCATTTGTGCTGATAAATAGTGGCTAACACAACTGCCTACTATGTAATACAGCACAGGTTCAAATCCCAGTAAGGGTATGGCTGCTGATGAAAGCTAAATAGCTTGAAATAGATCTATATTAGTCTCCCTTTATTTGTTTATCAGCACAAATGCAACACAAATGTAACAAAGGCAACAGTAAAAATAATGTCTTTCTGTCTGGATGGTCTCCTGGGGTGAGCTGATATACAGTGAAAGGAAGCAGTATGCTTCCTCCCATATTTGGGCATACCAGGGGTTGTGACACAATTCTTGCTTGAATTTGTTTAAACTTCTGTTATGAATATTTACAATTAATTTTTCCATTGCCACATATTCTTTAAGCTTAAAATTCCAATTAGATATAATCAGAATTGTGTCTTTCTTCCAAAGTTGGGAAAAACTTATTTTTAGAAATTATGTTTCCTTTTCTGGATTCATACCTAGTAAAAATGGTTAATTTCGAATTTAAATTCCTTTTTTTTTGTATTTTATGTATATCTTATCCAGTACTTTTGAAGTTTTTCTAGCATATCCCCCCATGTAATAAAATGTTCTGTTTCCTAGCATTCCCAATATTTATCTCTGGATGTTTTGTCTACCAGGGAAATTATTGACAATAATCTATAGTTCTCAATGTGCCTCATAAACATGCTTAATTCTCTGAAAAACATATCCTCCCTGCAATAATCCCTGCAAAAAAATTCCAAGATATTTATAAGCAAATCTTTAGTTTCCATAATTTATGGCTCAGACTCCACTATTTCAAAGGAATTTTTTTCCTGCTTTAAAATACAAAGGTTAAAAAGAAAGACGTAATGGCATAATTTTAATGTAGCCGTTGTTCTTGCTTTGTTTGCTACCATCAAAAAAAATCTTTTTGACAAGTTGAGTAGACCCCTTCATATCCAACAGAGTCCAGCTTCCACCTTCTGATCTTCCTCTGTATCATTTTGGCAGTGTGAAGATTAAAGCTTATCCAATTAGCCACCCATAGCTTTTGCCAAGTTAATAGCTTAAATCTTTGAAATCTTCACAGCAGAGTGGAGTGTGCAGATATCTTTTGATTACAGGAGCAGATTTAACTAATTAAAAGGCTTAGCAATTGCCCAAATATAAAAGATGTTGAGGGTTATAATTGAGAATTGTGCCTCATTTTAACAAATGGCAGCTTATCTTCTCAAGTATATTGTTTCACTGGTTCATGCTTATAAACTTTTCCAAGTAATGCAGATTAGTCATTCAAAATTTTTCCTTGACTATGGCCACACAATGAGGCTTTCATTTAGCAAGGATTTTAAAAATTAGTCATCTACATAATCATACTTTCCTCTATGGATAGTAAAATACAGACATAGTCTTTGAAGCTTTCTAAGTGTTTCAACTTGAGTTCACCAATTGTTATGAAATGTGATTTATGCATTTTGAAAACCCCCGACTACGAATAACAAATGACAGAAAGCTCCAATGTCTCATTCCAAGATACTATTTTAATATTTGCTAAGGTGCTTTATCAGAATATAGTCTGATTACCTACTTTCAACAGACCATAATTTCTCAAATGTTGGAATAAGTTTTTCCAACATACTATGTGAATCTATTCTGTCCACACTCAATTACTATTAAAATATAATAGATGTAAATTATGTTGTATTATATCACCTGTAGCTGACTAAATTCTTTTTACCAAAAGATTTTTAGTAATTCAATTTTGTTCTGGAATAGCTCTACAACTCTATTGAGGCCCTATAAATAATGGTGGTTTCCAGGAATATGGTTCTAATGAATACTGGTAGTGCTATTATTGGTGTTTTATTTGGAAAAGAAGAAAGAAAAAAAGAGAAAAAGTATACTGAAATGTTTGGGGAAATTGTAACATAAATCAATACTTAACTTATTTGCCCATTTCATGGATATAACATTATAAAACACCATGCATTAATTATTTGTATGAGTTAAATGTGCAAAATGAAAAAGTCCAGACAATTATTCAGACAATTATGAACTGGCAAATGGAATTTACTTTTACATCTTTAAATTTTTTGTTACAAATAGGATTACAGCAGGTTAGGGAATACATTGTAGCACTCCTTCATTTCTGCCAATTTAAGGGAAGAAGTTACAAAATAGTAATAGTGAAAACAAACACAAACAAGCAAAGTGATCTCTTCTAACCTCACGTTCCTCTGAAACAGAGTCAGAAAAAAACTTAATTTTAACTAATGTAACAAAAATAGCAAAATGAAAAAATATTGAAGTATGAAATAAGCTGTTAAACTTATTTAATGCTTGTGCGCATCGGTGCCCAATGGATAATTGCTGATAAGAAACATAAAAAGAGTCACATGCCAATTAGTCTTAACTGGATCTGGTTTGGTAGAACTCTGAAACAGTAAGAGATGTGACAATAAGCAAAATCTTGCAAATGTATTTATCTTCATATGAGGCAGCCAATGTTCATAGCAAATATATATATACATATACATACATACATACATACATACATACATACATACATACATACATACATACATACATACATATTTAAAGTCACAACCCCTGGTATGCCC